CTGAGTTTTCTAGAACAAGAGCTTGGGTGAACCCCAATGTGATTCGGTTGGTTTTGTTTGGGACAAAGGGATAACAATGAGTAGGCTTTTACGTTGATCTATGTAAGGCTGTTAGTGGAGTTGAAGTCGTGAATGCTGGCAGGTATTGGGACACCTTGCCAAAGACCCATCCATTTCCACGGCTGAGTGTTTATAAAAATTGTGCATGCGGATTTGAATCTCTACAAATCGAAAAATATTGAAGCATCGATTTATCGCTAACGCAATCCACAGGAGCCGTCAAAACGGATGGCAGACTTTTACAATGCACGTCTCCAGTTTTTTGCGAGGAAAAAGGGTGATTTGGAGTTAAAAAATCACAGAAACTCACTTTTGAGATTGTCAAAAGGAGCAGTGGTTTCCTTCCTTAGAATGCTGAAGCTGCCTCTTCTAATAACTTTAAGGAACAACTTTTTTAAAGATATGAATGTCAAGTAAAAACACCCTTCTTATTAATAAACTGGACAAATAAAATTGGTGCAGATGTAACTTGCAGACGCCAAAATAGTCCAGATGGCGGTTTAACCTGCAAGACTTTTGGTTTGACGTGAGCATCCCCCTCTGAGTGGCAGATCCGAGTCGGTGAGGTGCTTGTCCCATTGTTTGAAGTTTCCGACACCACAGGACGGTGTTTTGACAAAAAAACTCATGTCATTGTTAAATGCACGTCATGCTAATGCACAAAACCACGTGAAATCGTGAGCAGATGATCGCCCATCATCTGTGACGTCTGAAAATCAACTAGGATGAAAGCAATAATTCCAGCTTCACATTATTTCGGCTTCCTCTTCAACTGGCATCACCGAAACAACTTCATCTTCCCCATTCTTACAAGACAAAACCGCACTGATAAAGATCCCATTTATCTAGTCCCAATGTTTAAATATCTGCCGCTGATGGAAAATTAGTAGCACACAACGCCCCAACGCGTCAACAAAAAGGTCAAGAAAAAACGCAATTAAAAAGCATATAATTACATTGTCCATCAAAATGCAGGATCCATGTCAGATCAGCACATAGCAGCGCGCAAATAGTCTGGCGTAGCTGTGATATAGTCCTCCAACTTGAAGTACTCCTCATTATTTCTATCCAGAAATCTACAAAGATAAGGAAGTAGTCTAAGCAATCAACTCCTCATTCTTTGTCCCTCCGTACATTAACTTACGCAACAAAATCGGCAGTTACTGCTTCCATTAGGCCCACACTGGTTGGATCAGTCTTGACAAAAGTGATCAAATCCCTCAAACGAACTGCGAGAACATACAGAGGCGAAAATGCCCTACATTAGTTACAAAACTTACTCCACTTAAGTGCAACTAAAGTGATAAATACCGAGTAGTCGAAGCAGATGCATTGGACCATACAGGTCCACCATTTCCAGGCTCGCATGCGATTTCAACAACTCAGCATACTGTGGGCGCTCAAACTTGTACAGGAGTTGAGAACCCAAAATGAAGTTGAAGTTCACTCTTAAACCGTTGACGAATTCACGACGAAACTCTTGCGTCACGGTGAAGGACGATTGAGTAGGATTGGTGTTGGTGTGTTGTGACTTACCCTGTTCAAGGTAGTCTTCGAACACACCGGATATCGGTTTACGTGCTGGCAGGTTAACCAGCTAGATGAGGGAAATAAAACGAAATTGGATGGCCGAAATATACGAGATCCAATAACAATAACAGACGACCCGAAGAATTTGGAGAGTGAAATGAATAAGTAATTTTGAGCTCAAAACTTACTCGAGATTGTTTCGTGGTGAGATCCCAGTCATCAACAAGCCAAGCCTTGAGCGAGTCCGTTAAATCAACTCGAATTCGCGTTCGTTTTAAAAAGCCTTCCTCCTATGGGAAAAAAAAAACCGTCATTTATTCGTGTGGAATAAGCTGCTCATGGTGAAATCTGTAGAAAGCTCACAGTTTCCCCAGTGATGCTAGCGATAGAACGAGCTCGACGTTTGCGGCTACCACTGCTACCAGTGTTCTGTGGTGCTTTTGGTGGAGGTAGAGATGGAGCCGATTCCCCTTCAATCTTAACAGGAGGCATAGAAGCCTGAACATCAGACTCCGGAGTGTCAGGAGCCTCAGGCTCTTCAGGTTTAGGACTCTCAGGACCTTCTGTCGTGTTGGCCGACAACCCAGTAATCCAAAAATTCAAAAAGTGGGGAAGTAGAGCTCAAGTTACCCAAAAACAAGTACAACACATGGTTAAAATCATGAATAATATGCTTCTGAATTGATTCGAAAAACTACGCATCTGACAGACGTACAAGGAGAGATAGTCAACCGAAAAGAAACACCGA